GGTTTTTTTTTTTTTGGTTTTTTGAGACAGGGTTTCTCAGTGTAGCTTTGGAGCCTATCCTGGCACTCACTCTGGAGACCAGGCTGGCCTTGAACTCACAGAGATTCGCCTGCCTCTGCCTCCCGAGTGCTGGGATTAAAGGTGTGTGCCACCAACACCCAGCGAATCTCTTGATTTCTAAGACAGTCTTTTCAAATTTACTTTGGACTTAACAACTGCTGTAAAATAGATAATTCAAAAAGGTGGGGAGAGAGTATAGCTCAGTGGACTGAACCAAGGGCCACCTCTTGCATTCTTAGTGTATGAGAAGGTATAAATTCGATCCCCAGCTTAAAGATGAGAAGGGAAAATGGGATAGAGAGGGCAAGGAGGGTACTTGGGTTGTGCATGTTGGGAAATGTTACTTCAACATCCTCAAACAAATACCGGCTACTTTCATTCCCCGTTCCCTTTTACAATCTCCTCTGCCTGGAGAGAAGAGAATGGATTAAACATCCCCCAAAATGCTGCCCGGTAAACAGAATCTAACCAAGAACACAGAGCATGCAACCTTTGCCAACAATTTCATTATTACCAGCTAGTTCCAACGATACACTGCCCACCTCAGAGAGATTAAAAACAAAACAGTGTAGGCAAAAGTGAGTGAGATCCATGAACTGAAAACAGCAAGCACAGGGGAACTCACCTTCTGCAGGGTCACGGTGTACTGCTCCCATATCAGCTCCTCCATGCCTGGGCCCTGTGTGGCAACAAACAAAGTCAATTTAAGTACATGCCAATACCCCAATGCCAGAAATAAAACTGTAATTCGACAGGAATCCAGCTGTCGAAAAAAAAAGCAGGTCTTTCTCAAAATGTTATGCTGCTTCTGTCTGTATAAAACCTTCTAAGAAATGACAGTCTTGGTGCTAGGGCATTCAATGAAAACACATAGTAAGAGGCCCTAAAAAACTGGATACATGTTCATTGTTAGGAAGCTTCTTAAATAATGTCTTATTTGGGGGATGGCTCGGCAGTCAAGGCGCTTGCTGCCAAGCATGACAAGCCAGGTTCAATCCCTAGGACCCAGATATTGGAAAAGAGAATCAAGTCCTAAAAGTTGTCCTCTGACTTCCACACATGTACAGAAGTGAGCATCGGCTCATGAACACACACACATTCTCTCTTTTGCCTCCCTCCCTCCTTCTCCCCTCTCAAGAAAACATAATAAATTTTTAATTTCAAAAATATCCTCCCATTTTTCTCTCTCTCCTGTCAAAAATGACCTTTGACAAATCTTCCACATCTTAAACCTAAAGAAACCCTTGGCCTTGTAATCAATGGGATGTATCACTTGGTGTAAAAACAGACCGCTGGGATTTGCTCTGCTAACTCAATTCTGAGAGATATCCAGGGAGACCTTTAACACAGCGGTATTACTTTAAGTCTAATGATCTGTTAAATGCAGGCTGCCTCTAAAAAGGCTAGAAGTGTCAGGAAAGCACACAGCTACAGAGAGGCCGGCCTAAGAAAGCACCGAAACAGGAAGATACCAAGAAAAAAAAAATCTATAAGGATGGATGATCAGAGAGGATACAGCAGAGGGAAAATGTACTTCCACAGAAGGACCCCAGAGACTCTTGCCCGGCTCATGAATATTGTGGAATTAGTAGAAATTACCACTCTGGAGAATTCCTATCAATGGGCCTGCATTCAGATTTGGAAATGAGTCCCATTATGGAAAGAGACTGCATATCCTCCCCAAACATGCCAGAGCGGCACTGGTAATGCCACCTGCATAGGAAATACAAGGTTCCTCTCTCCAATGGACATGCTTGAATGGAGGCTTCACAGATTTCCCAGATAGGTAAGAAACCTGAGTTCACAGTTCACATGAGCGTGCGCGCGCGCACGCGCACACACACACACACACACACACCACACACACACACAGTGAAAGTCACAAGAAACAAACTGAGGGATCAAATGGCAGTATGAGAAACATCAACAACAAACCAAAAAGTATACAAAACATAGGTCATGCTTTAAGAATTTAGAACACCTCATTGAAAGTTTAGTTATCAATGAACAATAGACCATCAAAAGAACCAAGCAAACAAATTTGAAATACAATTTTTTTCTTAGAAACGAAAAGAACTGAAGTGACATAAATGATGACCTAGCATCTCATACTAGCTGAAGAAGACAATTATAGATAAAGCAGACACAGAGGGACAACTTAGACCACAGCACAAGGCCAGAAAGGTAGGAGGTGCCTGTCACACAGAGGACCAAGGGGCTAATACTGTGCTGATAATTAGAGAGATGAAGAAGTACCGAAAAATATTCAGATAATGTGGCATTTTCTCCCTGTTCACAAACTCTGGGAGAGAGACAGCCAGAGGTAAAGACGATAATGCCCACTGATACACTAGGCTAGATAACCCACTCCTTCTAGAAGCAGAGGGCTAGGAAAAGACGATTCTGTGTGCGCAGAAGAAACATGAAGTAGCCTACTGTTGTGACTTAACTAATTACACACACTGGGAGGCATCGGTGACTCCTGCTCCCCCTCCCTGTGTGTTCAATTCTGGGACATTCCCACAGCAAACACCATCTGGCTCCAAGAGATCAGAATTCTCAAAGATTAAAAAAACTACAATTCATATTATTTCTAGGATCAAAAAGTTACAGAGGTGTAGGAGGGATAGGCAAAGTCTTGGCCATGGGTGTGTGGGGGACTGGGTGGGGCGGTGGGGGTGGCAGATGCTCAAGTTAAGAAGGTGTCTACATCCATACAAAGCAATACACAAATCCTGAAAGGATTAAGATAAAACTATGGGAACCCCCCAAGCTGTTTGTTTACTATGACCACTGTTTTGATTTTGATTTTGTTTGGGGTTTCTTTGTCAGGGGAGGGCTGTCTTCTTTTCTTTTGTCGAGCTGGGATCAAACCCAGAGTCTTGCATGTATGAGGCATGTGTTATGCCACTGAGTTTTATCTGCAGCCCAGACTTTCTATTTTAACAAATGACTGCTGGGCAGTTGATGATAGCACACGCCATTAATAACGGCACTCATGAGGCAGAGGCAGGCAGATCTATGTGAGTTTCAGACCAGCCAGAGCTACAAAGTTGCATGCATGTACAGTGTACTTGAAAGCCCAGCATCTGGGAAATAGAAGCAGGTAGAGTTCAAGATCAGCCTGGTGTAGTGAGCCCACTCCAGGCCAGGGAAGGGTGCAAGTGAGATTCTGTCTAATAATAATAATAGTAATAGTGATAATGATAATAATAATAACGATGATGATGATGATGATGATGATGGAAGATTTTTAAGTGAGATTTTGCTGTCTGGCTCATCTTTGTCCCATGGTTTCCTAGAACACAATGTCCTGTATACAAAATAGGTGGTTGCTTTTTTCTTTCCAATAAACCAAGAGACAGATGCACTATCTATTCTCCTTTCTATGAATATAGCAAGGACAATTTCTATTACTTGTAAATGTTCTTAAAGAAAATTTCTATTAAATGCAACAGTTCTTTGGTTGTTTGCTGTCCTGGTGGTTTGAATGAGAACTGTCTCCCATAGGCTCTGGTACCTGGATACTTGGTCCCCAGTTGCTAGCACTGTTTGGGGAAGTCTAGGAGGTGTGTGTCACTGGAGACAGGCTTTGAAAGTCTGAAGACTCATCATTTTGAATGAGTGCCATTTCTGGTTACTCTCTGCTTGAGAGGGCTTTGTGTGGGAGAGCCCAGGGTGCTCCTCAGTGCCTTTCTTTTAAAGGGTAAAAAGCAACTTTATTAGGAAAATGGAGGTGGCATAGACTCTTGAACAGGTAAAGTCACAAAAGGACATGAAACTTCAATCTCCTCAGAGATTGGGGCTCCCCACCTAGGGGACCCTGGCACCTTTCAACCTCAGCATGAGATTTCAGCCATTTCTTCCCATGATTTTCTCGGATCACTTTACTTTCCATAAAAGGAACATTAGTGGTAGCATCCTCCATATTAGAACAAGCCATCCCTAGAAGTCATTCCATGGATACTTAGGAGCTATGTGGCCCACTGCAAATAAGAAGCTGTGTCTAAGTTATTTAAAGACTGAGACTAAGTTATTCAAGCTGTTGCTTTTAGGCCTTTTACAGACAGAGCTCATTTTCTTGGGAAACACTTATCAAACAGATAACTATCTGGTAAAGCTAGGAAGATAGTTCAGTTGGTAAAAGCACTTGCTATATTAGCATGAGGACCTGAGTTTAGTCCCTAGAACCTAGGCAAAACCGCCCTGTAATCCCACATTGGGGAGGTGAAAATAGGAGGGGGCCTGATGGCTAGCCAGTCTCACAGACTTGGCAAGCGCCAGGTTCTATGAGAAAGACCCTGTCTCAAAAACCAGCCCCTGAAGAATGATACCCGAAACTGACCCTTGGACTCCACATACCAGCCCCTTTTACACACACGCACTCAGTCCCCCAACACACACAAGAGGAAACATTTAAAACCAACCACAGGCAGATAACTAAGTCTTGACAGCCTGTAATGAACCTGACAGCCAACCTTTAAGCTCCATGTCCCTATATTGCTGTTTCCCAGTGAGAGAGACCACTAAGAACAAAAATTCACCCCAAGCTGCTTTAAAGACACAATCACAGTCCAAGCCACACAGCAAATACCCGAGTAACAGTGCCCTGAGTACTAAAACTAATTTCAGAAATCGCTCCTGTAATGGGAAGCCCTGCCATCAGGATATAGGCTTCTGAAGGATACAAAGGTTAAATGTTTGATCCCAAACACAAAATTCTCAAACACACAGAAACAGTGTATTAATCTGTCCCCAAGAAGCCAAGCTCTCTGAGATTGCCAACACATGGGAATCGGCAGTCTGACTCACACATGCAGTGAGTGGCTATCAATCTCACCTTGGTCTGCTCAAAATAAGACGAGTATTTAAAATTCTACCATTGACTGCAAGCCACACTCTGCATGCAATCTCACAATTTGTCCCTGAAAGCTGCCAAGACACAAATAAATCCGAGGATAAAGGAGTCACTGTGCCACTGTGTGAAGGACTTGCCCCCCTCCCCTCCGGCAGAGCAAGCACGGGAAAGAAAGGCGAAAGCTGAAGGACTCACATGGCCTTTCCACCTCTCCAACTTTTTAACTGCCTGGATCCACATCCTCTGGAATACCTGAGCAGCCTTCATGGCTCTGCAGAGTCAGGGCTGGCCACTGCCTACCTCCCAGGCTGCTCGCCCATTTCCACCACTCCACGTGGTTACGTAAGGCGGGTACAATAGTGGCCCACATTCCCAGCAAATCCTGTTGTCATCCCACAGTGACACATCCATACAGCAGGGACGCCAAGCGCTTTGAAAAGCACTACTTGTGAGGCACAAAGAAAGCAGTCTGGACTCACCACTTCAACGGCTTTCTTTTCCTCCCTCTCTCCCACACAAGGAGGACAGCACTGGGGTATATATTTCTTCCAGTCACGGAAAATCATTTGGTGTTTAACTGTGACTATTAAGTATTGGTGGTCTTCCATATCCACAGATCCTATGAGTATGATCCAAAAATAGCTTTAGGAGTTAGAAGATGGCTCAGTGGTTAAGAGACCAGAGTCCAATTTCCAGAACTCACATAAAGTGGCTCACAATTGTCTGGAAATTCTAGTTCAAGGAATCCAGGGCCTCCATGAGCTCCTGCACACACATGGCATACATGCAAAAACTCACAGATATGCACATGATTAAAAATA